GTCCTACAGGTCTATCAGACAGCCCAGCGGAGATGCCAAGTAAGCAGCCAAGGAATGTACAATAATCAAGAAATTTCTGAAATTTTTTTTTTAAGATTATTTATTTATTTGTCAGAGAGAAAGAGAGAGAGCACAAGCAGGGGGAGTGGCAGGCCGAGGGAGAAGCAGACTCCCTGCTGAGCAAGGAGCCCAACATGGGACTCGATCCCAGGACCCTGGGATCATGACCTGAGCCGAAGGCAGACACCCAGGAAACTTCTGAAATCTAACAGGAAGCCTTGGGCCAAGGCTGGAGGCAGCAATGGGAAGGGAGAGGACTTTCAGTGCTTTGCAAGTCTCGCCACCCAGCCATTGGAGAGATGACATTCCCTCTGGGTTTCAGCATAGGAACCTCTCAATGCAGTCTTCCAAGCAAAGGGCCCAGGTCTAACCTCTCAGCTGCAGGGGACGTGGGGCTAACCTCATAGCAGATGTCTCATGAATTACCTCCCATTTCTGAACTGTGAAGGTCTACCATTACATCAATGAATCAGGGAACAATTGCAATCAGACTTCTTCTTTTTTTTTTTTTAAGATTTTATTTATTTATTTGACAAAGTGAGAGAAGGAACACAAGCAGGGGGAGTGGGAGAGGGAGAAGCAGGCTTCCCGCTGAGCGGGGAGCCCGACGCAGGGCTCGATCCCAGGACCCTGGGATCATGACCTGAGCTGAAGGCAGATGCTTAACGACTGAGCCACCCAGGCGCCCCGCAATCAGACTGCTTCTGTAATTAACAAAAAGATATACGTTCTGTCTTAATCCTGCTGTCTATAAGTCCAACCTCCAACTGGAGGGCCTCCAGGGTCTACACTAGGAAGTGCAGTAGACACAGCTGTTGCCCATGCACAAGCCTGTCCTCACCCCAACCCCACTTTCCTGTGAGGTGGTGAAGCTAACGGATGACATTAGGGAGCCTTTGTGCCAATCCTGCAAGTGCCAGCTATGAGGCTCCTTAGGTGCTATAATAAATGTCTTTATATTTAGAGCTGCTTAAAATTGCGTCTTCTCAGGGCGCCTGGGTGGCTCAGTCTGTTAAGCATCTGCCTCCAGCTCAGGTCATGATCCCGGGGTCCTGGGATCGAGCCTGGTGTCAGACTCCCTGCTCAGCGGGGAGTCTGATTCTCCCTCTGCCCCCCGCCCCCACTGGTGTGTGCTCTCTCTCTCTCTCTCAAATAAATAAATTTTTAAAATCTTTTTTAAAAAATAAAATAAAATTGGGTCTTCTCTTCCCTCCATATACTTAGATGTTCCCATGGAGCTCACCCCCTCAAGCACAATTCCTTTTTCCTCTTCCATATCTCTTCATTCCGCCATGTGCTAGGCACTCAATAAAATGTGGTGAAGAAACAACCCATCTTGGCAGTGTCTATCTTCGTGGATCCAACAGGATGGTGTGGACACACACGTCACCCAGGTAAATGACATATTGTGACTAGCGTACCTATGAAGGGAAAGGACAGTCTGCTATGAGACACAGCCTCTGGATCTGATCATCTGAGAAGGCATCCCTGAGGAGGTGACATTTAAACTAAGACCTGAAAGATGATGGGGCGCCTGGCTGGCTCAGTCGTTAGAACATGTGACTCTTGATCTCTGGGTTGTGAGTTCAAGCCCCCTGCTGGGCATAAAACTTACTTAAAACAAACAAACAAACAAACAAACAAACAAACCATGCCCTGGAAGAGGAGAAGGATTCAAATGGGGAAGAGAGGGCAGAGGGTCATTTCAACAGGCTGGAACAACTCAAACTCTGACATGTGCCTCCAGCCCCTTGTATCTCTCTTTCTATCTCCATCTCTAAGCAGAAGCTCCTGAACATCACATACCCTTTTCTTTTTTTTTTAAGATTTTATTTATTTATTTGAGAAAGAGAGAATGAGAGACAGAGAGCATGAGAGGGAAGAGGGTCAGAGGGAAGAGGGTCAGAGGGAGAAGCAGACTCCCCGCCGAGCAGGGAGCCCGATGTGGGACTCGATCCCGGGACTCCAGGATCATGACCTGAGCCGAAGGCAGTCATCACTTAACCAACTGAGCCACCCAGGCGCCCCACGTACCCTTTTCAATATGACATAGTGTTGTCGCTCTGAATCTAAATTATCTAAGAGATGGAAGGGATGTTTTTGCCCCTTCACTAAGCTCCCGAGGTTGCTAAATCCTGAATATCTGCACCAGCACCAACCACCCAGACACCATCACTGTGTGTCATTGACAAAGCTCTTGAGCAATTCCATCCCTGCCTTCAAACAAAACCAAGAATAATAAAATTCCCTCCCCCTGTGAGTTTCTTTCTCTTTCTTTCTTTCTTTCTCTTTTTCTTTTTCTTTCTTTCTTTCTTTCTTTCCTTCCTTCTTTCCTTCCTTCCTTCCTTCTTTCTCTTTCTTTCTTTCTTTCTTTCTCTCTCTCTCTCTTTCTTTCTTTCTTTCTTTCTTTCTTTCTTTCTTTCTTTCTTTCTTTCTTGGAAGCACCTTTAGATTCCCCTTTTTGAGGGAACTAGAATTAATGCTGGGTAATAGTACTCAAGGTTTCCCTCACACTGTTTCTACTACCCTCCCTGGTGGTTGATCCTGGTCAGGAGAACTGGCTTTGAGAAATGGGTGTCAACCCCAACGATCCAGAGTCAGGCAGGCCATTTTTGCCATGCTTAAAAATCAGGAGAAAGAGTTCAACTTGTTTTGGTAAGATGTCAACATGCTATAATGGAGACCTACACAGACAGACAGACCTGGGTGTGAATATACATTCAGTTCTGTGACCTTGGGGGTGTTACTTAATCTCTCTAAGTCTCAGGTTCCTCATCCATAAAATAAGGATAATAATTCCTACCTTACAAGAATTAACCGCGATCATGTGTTTAAAGTACCCATCCTGACATGTAGTCAATACTCAGGAAATGTTGGGTCTCCTCCTTTCAAGGCCTGGCTCTTCAATTGCCTAATTATATCTTTTGAGGCATTCAAATGTGGTGCACCTCAGAGAATATTTCAATTACAGGTGCCCTAAGTGGTACTCTCTCATTTGGAAATCCGTAATTAAATCAGCAATGGCTGCAGGCTGCTCAGGTGTGTCAGGAGAGTTCCCACCCAGCTCACTTTTCCTCCTACCTGCCTCATCCAGCCAAGTCAGGGGTAACTATAGGAATAAAAATCCTTTAACATGTATAGAATATTGAGCAATTCGCAAAGAGCTCTGAGGCTCAGAACAACACAGGAGCTGGTATAATTACCATCTCATTACAAAGGGAATGGGGAAATCGAGGTCTAGAGAGGGGAAGCAATGTACTTAAAACTTCAGAAGTGGCCTAATAATCCAGTGTTCCCACCACACCCCACCACATCCCATTCAGTGGAAAAGTTCACCACCAGCAACTGTCCTGACTCAGCAGTAGCAGAGAATTCACTCCTGAATTGCCTTTCCTTCCCCACGCCCTCCCTTGCTCCTTACTCTGCCAGCTTTTCTAGACCAGTATCAATGGCTTACTCTGGTCTTGGGATAGTCTGGCTTTATTTTGGGGCTTGCCTGGCATTTCTCACCACTGTCAATGTGTATTTGCAGGCAGGAGCTTGCTTTGGAGCACTTTTACCAAAACTTGGGACTTTTTTCTAAGACAAGTGTGAGAAAAAATCAGTCTGACTTCGATCGGAGTTTGGTTCTAGCCATGGCTTGAGGGTTATGGGCCCAGGGTGGTGTGGCCCACCCATTTACCCAAGGCTGACAAAGGTAAATTAAGGACCACTCTGCTCTTCAGAAAAGGACCAGCTGGAAGACATGGAAAATAAGATTCCATCCTCAAAAGTTCCATTCCATCAGGATGGAATTCAAGCAAAGCTCTAATGTTTGCATTAATTTCTCCAAAACAGAAACAAAGCGTCAGAGCTGGTTGAGCTCTTCTGATTCAATAACCTCATTTCCCACCATGATAGACTGGCAAACAGAGAAGAGAAGAGGCCCATTCAAGGCCACACAGCTAGCAAGAGCAGGGCTAAAACTCAGGCCACAGGACCCCAGTTTGCTTTTGTTACTGAACCATGCAGTTCACTCAAGAGCTCAAAACATGTTCGATTTGGATAATCCAGGTGATCTCCCCCCTACTGCTTCTCCCACTCCATTCGCTCCCCCCCCCCCGGAAAGGTTACACTGCAGTGGATTTTCCTAATGGACTTGGATGATATGGATCTATGTCTATGAGATACTGACCCAGGGAGAGCTCTTTCCAACAAGGGTCCCCCAAACAGGCCTCAGCTGTGAGTGAGCACCACCCCAAACCTGCCCAGTGACCCAGGAGGAAAGCATTGGCATAGCCCTGGGTGAAACTGGCCTCTCCTAGGCTACACTTCTGATCCTTCCCAGCTTTGTGGGAGCTGCTGGGATAGGGTGAAGGAAGCACGGACAGTAGCTCGTTCTGGTTTCCAGTAACACTGCTTAGACGTCATCGGTCTCTCCACCACCATGGCTGCCCCATCCCCTCCATGTCCTCCTTTACTTCCCTCTTCCACTTCCTCCACCCCACCCCGAAGGACCTTTCCTGGTCCTTCTCCACTTCCTCCTCCACTACCAGCACTACCCCTCCAGCCCCCCCTCCATCTCCTCCCCCCCACCACCACCTCCTCCAGGACTTCCTCCATTCCTTCCCTACGTCCCCACTCCCCCACCCCTCCCACACCCCCTCCACAGTGACACCACCATCCCCACCGCCCCAACTCCCCTTTCCACCTCCTTCAGCGCCAGTACCCCTGCACCACCAGCAGCAGCTTCACCACCACGGTTTCCATGGCATTAAAATAGGTCCCCCTACCAAATATCACTCCAAGACCTTCATGCTTTCAAAATAAGACAAACGATCCCTATTTAAAGCCATAAGCCAGAGTCACTGAGATTTATCATACACTTGAAATAAACCGGGATTAACTCCTTCTCTTCCTTCTCATTTTTTGAAAGTGCTTATCTAAACACACACGCTCACCATCTCTCGCCCTCTCTCTCACCAGAAGACCGTAGGTACTCGGAAATGAAGCAGACAATGGTGGCCTTGTTGCAGAAGCCTGATATTAATAGACTATGCCTTTTGATTTCAGCCCGGAAACATTGGCAGCAAACCAATGTGAGAAAGGAGGGGCTGTGTAGCCAAAGTTTGAAAGAGAGATGAAGAAAAAAACCCAACCCAGCTTTGATCAGAAGAGGCTGAAGATGAATTGTGGTCATTTCACAGGTCTCTGGGTGGAGGTTAATGTCATTTTGAGACAAGGAAACTGGGTTAAAGGGGGAGGGGGGACTGAGAAGGGATGCACTTTCTGACGGAACGGGGCCACCGCACCGAGAGGATCAAAGCTGCTCGCCATGCAGAGAATGAAGGATTATTCACTTTCTATTTTTTTCACGCCTGCAGCACACATGGGGATCTAATTGGTGGGGATGCGAAATACAGACAGGCCGCCCCAGCAGCAGGGCAGGGCCCGAAGGGGGAGGCGGCGCTTGGTGCAGCTGCAAGCCATTAAAGGCAAGCTTGCCGCCCCGCGCCGCTTTAATTGCTCTTCGGTGTGTTTCCTCCGCTCACCAGCGCTAGTGTCTACTTCCCAGTCTCTGTGATCTCAGAGGTGATGAGCTTGACGGCTGTCAGGCCCGCGGGGTCAGGAGAGGCAGGAGGCAAGTCTCGGGGGAGCTCGGGCCCCCCCCCCCCCGCGCGGGGAGGGGCTGCTGCGGGAAGAGGCGGAGTCAGGCCCTCCCGAGTCCTGCCCACCCACCCCCCGCCCCCCGCCCCCACCAGCCTGGTTCCTTGGCGTCAGCAGGTGGAGAGCCTGGGTGCCTCCCGGGATGGCTGTTGTCTCAGTTCTAACCCGGGACGCCACGGGAGAAACAGGACAGATGAAGACCCACACCACTGTGCGGTGTCTCACCTTCGGCATGTCGCTCAGCCTCCCTGACCCTTCATTTCCTTGTCCTTGAAATGCGGTGTGTGCCTCACCCCCAGCATGCCCTGAAGATTACCTGTCCTGAAATGCTAAGCAGTGAAGGGAAGTCCCTGTTGGTTGTTATCGCAGACCACGTCCTCCCTGAACCCTCTCTCAGCCAGCCAGCCTCCTGATCTGCGCTAGGTCCAAGTCCACCCCCAAGACCCCTTTTCAGCCCTTCTCGGTGCCCCTCCCTGGACAAAACTGCCCTCACTACCCAGTCTGTAGGATCGGGGACCCCTCCTGTCACTCATATCAGGCTCCCAGTATTTTTCTCTTAGACCTCGTCCTTAGCCACATCCTCCTGGCTGGCAGTCCCCTCTCTTCCCCTCCATTGCCCCCCATTTCAACCGCCAGTTCTTTACACGTGTGAAGCTATAAAATGTAAGCTCAGCCATTCACTTCTCTGCTGAAAACTGAGGCGGCTCACTGTGGTGTTTGTGCCCTCTCCCTGTAGGGAATGCTTTCCTTCTTCCTTGGTCTGCCTTACGCTTGAGGACTCAGCGGAGTTATTGCCTCTTCTAGGTAGCCCCTCATTGCAGGATAAGAGCCTCTGCTGAGCACAGTGGTGCTTTCAGATTGCCCTGCACTGACCACAATGGACTAAAGTCATTTTGTCTTTCCTCTGCTTGAAGTTGTCTGTCTCCTCCACTTGAAGGTGAGCTTTTGGGGAACAAGACTGCAGTTTAAATCATCTTTGTACTCCCAGCATGTAAGATGGTTAGCCCAGTGCCTGGAAGAGAGCAGGTATTCCATAAATGTATTTTGAACTAATTTATGGCCCATTGTTACTTATCTCCTGTCCCAATTATCCTATTAAGTTGAAAGCATTTGGTGAGATGGAAATGTGTCTGATTCATGTTGTATTCCACACAGTGCCCAGCACAGAGAAGAGCCTCGGTGAAGAGTTGCTGGTTCTGAAGTCTGGCCCTGCCAGCAATCATACCCCTGCTGTGTCTGGCTTGATTAGCCCTGTTTCTTCAGCATCTAGAACAGAGCTTTGCACAGAGGTGCTCAAAAAATACATTTGGACTGGCTGGATAGTGTGGCATTGTAGGGGAAACACCATTTCTGGTTGGAGGGCCTGGGTCCTAGGGGTGACAAATTCAAACTTAATGAGGCCAAAAGGGAACTTCTGGTTTTCTCTAAAACTTCACTCCTTAGCCCCAAAGCCCCAGCAGACATACCCCACCTTGATAAATGGTACCACCATCCAACCAGTTGCTCACACCGAAATCTAGGCATCGTATTTGATTCATCTATTATCTTTGGGTCCCGCATTGAATCCACCAACAAGTTCTATAAACTCTGCTTCCAAAATATATCCAACCTTTGGCCATCAACTTTACAACCACTGTTCTAGTTCTAACTGCCGTCATCCTGACCTTGAAGCTGGTCTCCCTGCCCAGTGTACACACACACACACACACACACACTTTGTATCTTTTCATTTCATCACCATGTTCTTTCTATCACTGCAATGCCTTCCCACTTAGAATAAAATCCAAACACCCAAACACCTCATGATGGTCTACAAACCGCACACCATCTGGCCCTGCTCCCCTTTCCAGCTTCCCCTCCTACTAATCATCTCCTTCCAACCACACTGATCTTTTTGCCATTCCTGGAATATTCAGGATTGTTCTTGCCCTGGAACTTCTTATTCCCTCTATCGTGAAAGCTCTTCCCCAATGTTACCCTTAGCCCAAATGTCACCTCAGTGAGGCCTTCACAACCCTACGTGTGATAGTTCATTTTATGTGTCAACTTGACTAGGCTACAGGATGCCCAGCTATTTGGTCAGACATTATTCTGGGTGTGTTTGTGATGAGATGAACACTTGGAGTGGTTGACTGAGTAAAGCAGAGTGCCCTCCCTCATGTGGGGGGGGGGCTTATCCAATCAATGGAAGGCCTAACTAGAACAAAACGTCTGAACTTCCCTCAGGTAAGGGGGAATTTCCTCCTGCCTCACTGCTCGAGCTGATCTATCAGACTTTTCTAGCCTTTGGACTCAAACTGAAACGTCAGCTCTTTTTGGGTTTTGAACCTGCCAGTTTTCAGGCAGGAACTTACACTATCGATTCTCCTTGTTCTCAGGTCTTGGGATTCCGACTGGAGCTATGCCATCGGCACTGTGGGTCTCCAGCTTGCCAACTACAGATCTTGGGACTTTTCAGCTTCCATATTCTTTATTTTTTTTTAAAGATTTTATTAATTTATTTGAGAGAGAGAGAGACAGCCCGCAGCAGGGGGGAGGGGGAAGAGGGAGAGGGAGAAGCAAGACTCCCTGCTGAGCAGGGAGCCCAACGCAGGACTAGATCCCAGGATCCTAAGACCACGACCCAAGCTAAAGGCAGATGCCCAACCGACTGAGCCACCCAGGCACCCTCAGCCTCCATATTCTTGTGAGCCAATTTCCTATAATAAGTATTATAGATAGATAGATGATAAATGATAGATAGATAGATAGATAGATAGATAGATAGATAGATAGATAGATAGA